ATGAAAATCTTAATTTTAATAAAAATTTTATTCTTAATTAAGATATAGAAAAGTGGAAAATATTTCATAATTTATTCACTTCAGAATTATCAAACAAATCTTATTTAAATTAAGTACCTCATCATTCAAAATCACCAGATCACTGGAACTGGGCATTGTATGAGATAATATAATTTGGGAATCTTCAGTAAAAGATTTGTGCTACTTATTAAATAAAGAATAATTAAAATTTGTTTATTCATGAAAATATCTGAATATCCTCATTTATTCCCTTCAAAATTATAAAAGAAATCTAATTTAAATTAAGTACCTCATTATTCAAAATCAGCAGATCACTGGAACTGGGCATTGTATGAGAAGATAATATAATTTGGGAATCTTCAATAAAAGATTCATGCTAATTATTAAATAAAGAGTGGTTAAAATTTGTTTACTTATGAAAATCTTAATTTTAATAAAAATTTTATTCTTAATTAAGATATAGAAAAGTGGAAAATATTTCATAATTTATTCACTTCAGAATTATCAAACAAATCTTATTTAAATTAAGTACCTCATCATTCAAAATCACCAGATCACTGGAACTGGGCATTGTATGAGATAATATAATTTGGGAATCTTCAGTAAAAGATTTGAGCTAATTATTAAATAAAGATTAATTAAAATTTGTTCATGAAAATATCTGAATATCCTCATTTATTCCCTTCAAAATTATAAAACAAATCTTATTTAAATTAAGTACCTCATTATTCAAAATCAGCAGATCACTGGAACTGGGCATTGTATGAGATAATATAATTTGGGAATCTTCAATAAAAGATTTGTGCTAATTATTAAATAAAGAGTAGTGAAAATTTTAGGCAAATGACTTATTTTATTCTTAATTATAATATATAAATTTTTTTTTAACAAAAGTTGAAATATTTAAATATTCTTATAATTTATTTCCTTCAAAATTGATAAAGGGCATAATAAAAATGTACCTATATATTAAAAATCTTATCTTTAATAAAAATTAAAAGTATTATGCTCAAATTATAGATGAAGAATTGGTTTCTACTAATTCACAAAATTTAAGGTTATTTTTACTTATATTTATTGTCATGAATTAAAATAATATATATAAAAAATTACTTTTTGGAAGTAAGATGTTATTGATTTTTTTTGTAACTTGGTTTCAACCCCATTTGTGATATTGAATGGAATATCTTTATTTAAGGATACCCAATTATTATCCTTTTTGATAGCTATCTTTGTAAATTTGATATCAGATAACTTGACATGAGGATGTTTATGTTTATAATGGTTATTTATTTTGTCACTTCTTATTTTAGAAGTTTTACAATTAATATAGTCACATTTGACTTTATATATTGTTTTGTTACTTGGCATCTAGAATAAAAATGAAATAAATATTTAGATAATATTTTTTTACTCACTGATGGCCATCAAGAATGATGGAGAATCATAATTTTATCCTTTATTTGACGGTGGATGGCTGAATCTTAAAATTCTCCTATCTTATGAGGTGTGATTCAGAAATTAAATTTATATTTGTTTAAATGAGGGTGTAATTTTAAAATTTTCCAGTGGTTTTACAAAATATATTAAAGAAATATATATTTAGATATTTTAATATATGTGCACAATAAATTTTTATTCATTTGTATTATATTTTTAATCTAAAAAATATATTAAAATCTTTTAAAATAAATTCTTATTCATTTGTATTTGTAATTTATAATCAAAAAAATATATTCTAGACCCTTATTGTTTTTAAATTAAAATTCATAAATATACACTCTATTAACATATTTTATAAAAATAATGAAAAATTTACTGATTCAATCATCATCATATAAAGGAAATTTATTATGCACCCATCATTGAATAAAGAAGAAAATTCTGATTACCAGTCATTCATAATGGACTATCAGCTATTAACTTATATTTTTGATAATGTTTTCTTAAAAGATTCCTATTATATTATATGTAAGCTTAATGCATGGTCACAAAAAATATAATATTTTTTGTTATTTATGCCAAAACAATCATGGATCAATATTTCCTCCATTATACACTTCACAATTGATTTCTTTATTTCTTAGTGTCCAACAATTTTTAGAAATGTATGATGCTTTGAAATCATAGTTTCTTTAAATTAACAATCCTAATAAATTTTGCAAATAATTGAAAACAGGCATATTTGTGATTTGCCCATTCATTTATCTTCAAATAAAGTCTGAGAAATGATATATTTTAATCATTGAAATTAGAGACCTTCACTGGCATTGATTTCTTCATCCAGCCTAGGTCATAAGTAAAAATAATTTTCAGGCCCAGTTCATGTTTAATGGAAATCCAAACCCAAACCACATCATAGGTTTCAAAGATTATTCCCAAGCCATATCCAAAAATTTAATTTATTGTTAACAAAAATAAACAATATTTCAGTATATGGAATCACTTTGTCAATTCATTTAATTGAAATCTTTTCTTAAATCAATAATCAAATGAGAGGAATAGATTATCTGTTCATTCTCCCAAGATTTCTATAAATATTTAGAAAAAAGGCCAAATATATTATGGAAAATTTGATGTTATATAAAATTTATCTAATAATGAAATAAAAAATTTATCAATTCTTTTAACAAATTTTTTATCACACAATGGTTTTCACCTCTCACTTATAATTTTGTATATAATTTACACTTACCTCAAAGAATCATTTATCATAAATAGAAATCAATTATGGGTCCAACCTGATTGCCTCACAAAAATGTGGTAATATTTACCCCATTGAAAATGATTATTTAAAAAATTATTAGCAAAAATAATTGCCATGGTTCAAAACCCAGATAACTTATTAAGTATACATATTAAGATTAAATAAAAATAGCTTCATTCTTTATTATATTTATTTATCTATCATCAAATTAAGGAAAATGCAATTATATGCTTAAAAAATTACCTTTTTAAAATCCAAAAATGTTTCTTTATATTGTTAATTGAGTAGGATTATCTTATCATAAAAGGGATTCTTTATTCAAAAGGTCCTTATTATAAAAAAATATATATTGATAATTTAAAATTGATACTGTGAAAATCTAAATCCCATTATGTAAATGAATTTTCTAAAAATTTAAAAAAATAAATATAGTGTATAATATTTATAAATTGACAGATATCTTTTCTTTAATTGACATTTTTCAGAAAATCAACGATAATCATATCGATTATTGGATTTAAAAATATCATAATACAAGTCAAAAATTACCCTCCAAAAATCAATACCTACCCCCCAAAAACAAATGCCTACCCCCCAAAAATCAATATCTACCCCCCAAAATTAATACCTACCCCCCAAAATGCCAATATTTTTTGGAGGCATTTGTCTCCTACCCCCCCCCGGCCATGTAGACACTGGGCGTGTTAAATATTTAAAAATTATATAATTCTTACTTATTATTCATATTATGTTATGATATGTTTTTTTCTTTTATTATTTATTTGTATTATATTTTTAATATTCAAAACAATGCTGAGAACCAGAGTCAACATTTTACTGAACCCAAACCCGAACTCTTTTTTTAAATAGATCAGGGTTCAATAACTTTCTTTTTAAATATTGTTTATTTATTTAAAAAATATATATTAATAATGAAATATATGTAAAACTATATTAAAACTAAATATAAAAAAATATACAAATTATTTAAAACATACATTTTTTATTTTCAAATTAGGAACATTTTTTTTTGAAAATGATTTTATGCATTCTTTTTATTTTATTGTATTTTTTTAGTACTCCATTTTACCGTCATATTTTGTAATTTTTTAAATGATAGATATTACAGTCTAATATATATTTAGCGTTAAAAGCAATAATATAATGTAATATAAAACTACAAATCGATATCAATAGCTATAATGAGATGACAACTACCAAAAACCCAACAATAAGACTTGCAATCATAACTATCATTAAAAATTAATCACTACCATACCCACTATGTTCAAATTAACAAAAAAAGAGATGTGGAAAGTTTAGGTCAAGATAAAATATTAATATTAAAAATCGTATAACATGTCATATACTCTAATTATGTATTATCATTATTGCTTAATTGATAGATTGGGTTGCATAGTTAAAACTGAGAAGAATTAAAAGCATAGTCAAATTGATGATATTGAGAAGTTATAAATCCTTCTAGTAAGTAATTGTCACTTAATATTTTATACTTGACAATGTAAATAAAATTTTATCTATTTTATACACAGTTAAAAGATTTTGCTATTAGAAAGCTTAAAACAATAGGTTGATAAGGGGAAGGGCAAGTGTTTATATACTCTAAAAAATTTGTAGAAACCTCTGAAAGTTATATTTTTTTTTTAAAAATGCCTTATTAAAAGAGGGGTTATTTCGAAATTGTAAGCTAAAAAAGATTTCATTCCCATCAGATAGAAAAGGTTAATGACTAGTGGTGTTAAAAAGCCTGATTTGGGTCGATTTTTTAAAACGGCCCGATTAAGGTTATATAACCAAAATCATATTGTGGATTTTGCTCACAGATAGCAGAAAGGTTTGGGTTTCTTGCTAAATATTGGGGCTTACACAATATTATTTTGGCTAAAATCTTAATCGGGCTGTTTTTTAAAATTTGACTCAAATGGGGCATTTTAACACTACTAGTGACGCCACTGCTATACATATGATAGATTAATGTTCGAAATTAAATAATTTTCTATATCGTAATTAATACAAATGTATTCTAAAAAAACAATACAGACAATTTTTTTTGTTTTATTAATTGCATACATTAAGAATAAGATTTTTGCTAAAATAATATTATGTAAGCATCATGATTTGTCAAATAGATGTTCAAGCATTTCTGCTAGCTATGTGCAAAATCTTTAACAGGCTGTTTTGAAAAATCGACCCACATTGGGCTTTTTAACAACACTATGCATGGTATTCAAAAATTGACATGAACAAATATCACGTGGGATGATATCTAACAGGTCATGAGACAGGTGTGGGATGAAATCTAACAGGTCATGAGACAGGTATTGCGTTAGTTTAGATATCAAATTCGGGTTAGTAGGTAAAATTATAAAATTGAAAATGTATAAATATTCAATTTATTATAACATTTTATCTCATATCCATTTGTTTGATATTAAAATATAGACATAACGAGACCTCATCAAAATATTTGCTATCCTTTTAGAATTCAATTATAATGTGGATTTTACATTTATCGAATATTTTCCTTTATTTTAAATTTGTTATGAGATGATATATTTTTAAATAATAGCAAATTTAAAAATCATAAAATTGTGTTTTTCTATTAGGTTAACCTATTAATATGATTATGTTATGACATAACTATAAATTTATCTCATGCCTCTAATGCCTTACAAACTAAGTTTGAGCAATTAAAATTATTACAATGAAAAATATTTTTCTGAAAGTATAACCAACTGATTATTAGATCTGCTTTATATCAATCAAATAGCAATTGATTATAATACAAATATTGAGTTAAATTATATTTAATTTACCATTAAATTTTTCTCTTCATAATATCAATTTTAGGTGTAGCTAAGGCAGAAACTTTTACTAAATTGCAGAAGTTGAATTTCATATTTTGCTAATTTTGATTTGAAGAAAGGGATATGAGGTTAAATGGGGGATTCCATGTCACACCTCACATCTGTTCCTTTTCAATTGTGATAGAAATTTTTAGTTACCAGATATATTGTGAGCTCTTTATGCCCCCCCCCCCACACCTACTAAATTTTTCCTGATTTTTTGCCCCCTTTCCAATTTGAGGAAAACTGAGCTCTCCTAACAAAATTTTTTTTCAAAAGTCCTTAATACGATTATCTTTTTCTTTATTATTGTTATAAAATTTTTTTTATAAAGATAGGAATCTTTTTTATATTTTTCCATAGCCACTCAGAAGACAGAGAAGCAAATTTTTTATTTTTTAATATTTTTATTAACATTTTAATAAAAAATTGGTTATTAGCATGTAGTGATGATAAATATCTCAACTTTTAATATTCATGCCAACTAAAAAGGCTATATACCAAATTTTTAAGTAAAACCTATCACCTTAGTTTCAATAAATTAAAGGATAGCTAAATCTTGAAAAAATAATACTCCTGCCTCAAGATGACTTTTAGAATTAGAATTACACCAATTTAATTATACTACAGATTTGAAATAGTCTAAATTTAACAAACTCTTTTATATGTTCAAATATAAATTTGCAAATAGGTAGGTTGTTAGTTGTTATGATTAATCAATTTACTTGAAAGAAATAATAAATTAAAAAATTCTTTTATCAGGTTATTTTGTCTTATTTTGCCAATAAACCATTTTTTAAAAAAATAATGAACCCCCATTTATAATCCAAACAATTCTAATTAACTCTTTCAGTCCATGATTATTCTACCAGTAACAAATAAACATTAGCTTGGTTGATAATTCTTACCAACCATATTCTAAACATTAACCACAAGTGCACAACTTCTAACTGTACTAAGTGTTATTTGTATTCATTTCTATCTTTAATATATAAATTGCATTTATTAAAAATTCAATTTATAATTTATCTAGAGAGCATATTGCTGCCCCGTTTAATGGATAGATTTGAAAATGAGGGTTGACTGGAATAAATTTTATTGAAATTATTTTTTTTATTTTAGAAATTATTTTTGATTGATATATTATTAATTCAAAGAAAAATGACCTAAGAACCTAGATGTGCAATTTGGTAAAAAGAAAATAAAAAGAATCCACATCAGTATAAAACAATAGGCAATATATTCTTAATGAAAAATTTCCTTAACTCTCCAGATACTTTATCTTGCAAAACTCGTAAGTGTGAAAGGGGCTTTCATCTTATGATTTTGATTATGGTAGATAATCAAGCAAGTTTAGTCAACAATTTTTCAAATTTAATGTTCATAAAAATTAATGGATTCATATCAAAATGGATTTCTTATTCATATATCAAATTTTGTAAAAGGAATCATTATGGATGAATAAAATTCTTTCAAGCACAGCCCAAAGAAATAGAATAAATGAAAGATGGAAATTTTTTTAAATTCATATTTATAAATATGTTTAGATTCGAGGTCTGCAAAGTCTTGCCCAGAACTTAAGCTGGGTAATGTCTGGAAAAAATTTATTTAGGCCAAGCAAAAGCGTTTTTGTATAAATTTGATTAATTCTGATATTTCATATGGGTAATTATGGGGAAACATCAAAATTATTTTTTTAAAAATATTGAATGGTCATCTTATGGTCAGTAGAGAAACAAAAGTTAATAATATAAGATGTAATATTCAAACTAATAGTTTTTAATTCTAATTCTGGTAAAAGGTAAATTTGATATAACTAATAGAACATTAGCATGCCTGCAAATTTTTATTAAAAGTGAAAGGGATCAGTTAAAAATCTAAATATTTTTGCTCATTTGACCTGGAATGACCCAAATTTTTACTTGGGGAAGGGGTGTAGAGTTCCCTACATCAAGGGATAGGAAAGGCAACATTACCTTCATAGCAAATTTTTAAGCTTTTGTAAATATTATTTTAAACTAATAAAAAATTACTTTCCTACATTCCCTCCCAAATGAATACTATCTTTGAAGGTTTATATTTTTAATATATTAAACAGCTTAATTTATTATTTTAAATTACTTATTTTATTAATAGTTATTTTATAACTATTATTTTTCAACATTATTTTACAGTATTTAAAACAATTTAGACCCTATAATGCTATATTATTTTAAACAATCTTAATTAGTTTTTTTAAAAACATTTGATAACATTCATGAAAACTAGTGAAATTCATTTTATTAAGAAATTATAGAATCAAAATAATACCTAAATTTTAATCTGTTTTTTTTCCTCGTAAACAATAAAATTTCGCAAATTTTAGCAAATTTTACGAAAAAAAAGATTGCTCACGAAAACCATTCTAATAATAATAATATTAATATAAAACTAAAAAAATAATATTATAACAGTAAAGCTATTATAATCAATGCCATAAACAATAATTTTTTATTTATTTTTTCATTTTTTTAAAATTTTAATAACATAAATTAATAAAATTAGCGAAGAATATAGATGGTGAAACATTTAGCTGACTAAGCTGCGATAGTCCATTATATTCCTGACTGATAATTTTTATAAAATTATATTTTTTAAAAATAACGAACCATCAAACTATAGTCAACAATGTAAAATTCTCAGTGAATACTTTTTTTTCAAAATCTCTAGCCCTAATATATGTATTTATTTCAGTATTTTAATTGATTTGTAATTAAGCATATTTTTCCCTGATTATTATTTTAATTATATTACTAGTAAAATAAATACCTTATTCATATTAATTTACCTATAAAATAATTTTATTATCTATATACCGTATTAACAATTGCGTATATAATTCCGAAATATTTCGAATTTATAAATGGGATTAAATAGGATATCCGAACAATAATAGTGCTTAAAAATTAAGAATTTTGAAAATAGCAAGCATTTTTATATTTTTAACCATTTGTTTTTAATGTAAATATTGATGGCAAAATTGAACTTTCAGTATGAACTACTCTCATTTTAATATAGGATGAAACAAATAAAATCTTGTCTTCTCTAACCCAGATCACAAAATTATTATTAAATAAATAAATTTTGGAATTTTACATTTATAAATTTTAAAAAAATTCAAATATTAATACTTTTGATTTTTCAGTATTTATATAAAATACGAAATACTTTCTTAATTATTCAAATAAATACAAAAAAAGCATTTGTATTTACTACTATAAATACAATTATTAGCAATATTTCCCAACTATGAATTTCAGCTAACCAAGTTTAGCATATAGTAGATTTATCAGCCATAAAATATATCCATTTTCTTTATAAATATATTTGACATAACAGCTAGTGATCTGCATTGGGCCCAATTTTTCAAGTCCGTCCCGATCAAATATTTTATTTATTTATCCTGAAAAGCTTGCCTTAAGTAAAATAAATTATTTGTACGCCAGGCCCGAATTTATTTAAATGTAGAAAAATTGAATATCTTTATAATTAAAAAAAATAATATTCTACAGATAAAAAATATTGTCGTTGTTTCTTGCAAAGATTTTAAAATATATCAATTTAATTCTCAAAATTGAATTTATATTAAAAAAATTTAAGCCTAGCCCGGTCCTAATTTTTTTAAAAAATACTAAACCCGACTCAAGTCGATTCAATTTTGTTTAAAGAAAAATAGTCGGCTGGGATATGCAGATCTCTAATAAAAACATCTTGAAAATATATTAATTGTCCTTATTAATTTCTTAGGGAGAATATATTATATTCAAATACTATTTATTTGTTATATTATAATTGGTAAATTAGGGATATTTGTATGTTCAAAAAATAATTTTAAAAGTGCATCCTTACCTAATTATAATAAGTTTTTATGCGAAAGGGTTTCAAAGGTTCTAATAAAACCGATATTTTTTGCTAATAAGTTTATACGGTAATTTTTTACCTAACCATGAACAATAATCATTAAGGTTTATATCCCCGAAAATTTTTTATCGATCCAAGACCGGTCTTTTTATTTGTTTAAAAAACACATTTTTTCAACCTAATTTAATTTTTTTTATCATTTTATTAAATATAAGAGTATTATATAAACAGTAAAATTTATCCAATGGTATTGAAGAAGGTGATTTCGTGCTTGTGGGGGGCATATTAAGATTAAGAGTAGATTGTGTTTTTGTTCATTTCATCATTAGAAGTATATATTTTATGTTTTATCAGATGTCTGCTTAAGGTACCTAATTATTTTATTAAGAATAAGGTTAAGTTAATTTGACACTGAATTATTCAGACAGTTTCTTAAGAAAAAATAGAACTATATAAATAATAACCAAAATATTTTAATAATACTGCTTATTTTGATTAATTGCTTAAAAAATAATAAACAATTATTTTGTTACTTGTTGTTGACGATACATTAAATTTGGTACTGCAGTGAACACATTTTCTATGTTTTTTATTGGGACTATAAGTAAAATGTTTCTTGGACAAACTTATGGTTTTCATATTATAAATAAAAATTAACAATCTAAAGTAACTCATCTAGAAAAATATCATAAAATAAAATATGCAAAAAAATTATATTAATTAAATAGTAAAGCAAACTTAAATAATAAAGACCGGTCCGGACCGTAAAAATAAAAAGACCGGTCCGGACCACAGTCCTCAAAAAAGATCGATCCGGCAATCGGTCCGGTCCCGGTCTAAGATCGATAGGACCGGACTGTTGACCTTCACTAATGTTGTCGCTTTCTACTGGAGAGTAGATTTTAAATATATGTATGTAACCAATAAAAGGAGGATAAATAATTTAAAATAATTTCATTCTGAGAGTAAACTGTAGTAATGATCAGATCAAACGATTAAATTTGGAGTAAAATCTTTTCATTATTTATTTTAATTAGTATAATAATCGTTAAATATTTTTTAACATTGATATAATATCAGAATCATTAATTATTTATATTTTATAATATAATATAATGATAAATTTGTGATAATAGAATAGTGAATTTATTTCATATCATAATTAACTTGCATACGTATTCAAATTATCAGGATAAATATCTCCTCCCCATTGTAAACGATTTTATTATGAAATTAAATTATGTATATTACTTCCCAACCCTTCAAGGCGTTTTTTTTAAATAAATAATATAAGACAAACTTTTCATATATACTTATTCTAGGAATTTTTTTTTAACGTGAATATCATATTTTATTTATTATATTTTTGTGAATATAAGGTCTATTTTGCTATCAAATTTTATTAAATAAAAAAATTTTCATACCAAAAACTAAACACGAAATATTTTCAAAAAAAAATTATTATTTTATATTTAAAAAAAATACCTAAAGATATTCTCGTTTAATCTTATACATCATTCACTCCTACGATAAAAATTATTTTTGAAATATGTATCCAAAAATTGGAGAACCAGCACCATTTTTCCAAGGAACAGCCGTGGTGAATGGAAATTTTAAGGAAATAAAATTGACGGATTATAAGGGCAAATACTTAGTCGTATTCTTTTATCCCATGGATTTTACCTTCGTATGTCCCACCGAAATTATAGCTTTTAGTGATAGGGCGGACGAATTCAAAACCGAAAATTGTGAACTTGTTGGTGTTTCGACCGATAGCCACTTTAGTCACTTAGCTTGGTTAGTCATATTTTAGTACATATTAATTATATAAATATATTATTTCTTTTTAAATTCAGGATCTGTCTGTTCATTAAAAAAATAAATTTATGATATTAGATTAAATAGTTATAATATCTTTAAAAAATTAAAATAATTTATTTCTTTTCAGTTTATTCGGGGCACAAATATCTAAAAATATTAAAAAAAAAATTTTTCATTCTAAATTTGTTATTTTGAAAAATTTTGACGGGGATTAAACTCAAGCCCCCTTTACTAGTGACGTCACTTAAATTACAAGGTTACCGGTAATTATTTATATTTTTTTAAAAATTAGTAATTTAAAAAAATGTAATTAATGCCTGCAACTAGGGCTGTGCCGATATTAAATATCGGATCGGCACCGATATTTTTATTGTTCTTAGTTATTTTATGATTGTATATGTAATATCATAATATTAAATTAATGCAATTTATTTGTTGTAATGTTTACAAAAATAGTTAAAAATTTTACACTATTTTTTTTTTATATTATCTGCAACAAGAAAAGGATTTAAAAATATTTAACGAAGTGACATTCAGCTAGTTTATTAAACAGCTCGATTTCGCCAATTTTTAAAAATAGTCGACTCAAGATTTTTACCAAAAATGAACTACAAGATTATTTGGGCAAATGCCCACGCATGGCAGAAAGGTTTGTACTTCTATTGGCGAAATTTCGAAGCTTAGGAAAATATTTTGTCTAAAATCTTGATTACCCCTTTTTAAAAATCAGTCAAATGGAGCTGTTTAACGACACTACACATTTACCCATAAACATTGAAAATATTTTAAATGAGATTAATTTTTGGTGAATAAAAAAAATAAAGGTCTAAAAATTAGAAAATATTGATTTTTATGACATTGGTTCAAAGATATGGTAAACCTTAAAATTATATATACCTTTCACTAGTTTCATGATAATTTCCCGAATTTAAAATTACTCTATTATATATAATATACATCATTTACATCAAGCGCTCATTTAGAAAATTTGTTAAGTCTAAGGAAGTATTATTTTTAAATAAAAGCACCATTAGTCACCAAAAGTTTATTATTAATAAAAGCAAATAAAAATTTATTAGGCTCAAATTTTTATGAAAAATAAGGATACATTTAGATCCTTTGTTTTTCAAATAAAGATCGGGTTTGGCTTGGTACACTTCTATTTTATTTATAATAATGGATAGTATTTTTATTGATGACTTTTTGAAGAACAAAAGTATCTATTTTCATACGATCCATTAGATTTTACCTTTTTTTGACCTATTTTATTACTTATGAATTTAAAATATTTATCTCATTTTTCTCTATCAGGATTAATACTCCTCGCAAACAAGGTGGTCTGGGTCCAATGAAAATACCTTTGCTTGGTGATAAATCCATGAAAATGGCGACAGATTACGGCGTTTTGAAAGGTGACGAAGGAATCGCTTTTAGGTAAAATAAAGAATATTCTTAACTTCTCTCTTTTATTTTTTTTCCAATACACTTTTTAAAATAAATATAGAGGCTTATACCTAATCGATGACAAGCAAAGACTGAGACAAATAACCATAAACGACTTGTCAGTCGGTCGATCGGTTGATGAAACTTTGAGATTGGTCAAAGCATTTCAATTTACGGACAAATATGGAGAAGGTTAGTCATAAAATTCTTTAAAACACGCTATAAATTATATGGTCGATTTTCGAATATATAAAACCGCAAAATAGAATTCGGGCTCTTCTTAACGCGCGTATTGAATGAAATCCGTTAAGCAAGGCGCGAGTTAATTAATTTTTTTCAGCTTTCTTCATTAGCTTATAAGTTCAAAGAAAAATCTCGAGTGTGAGGCGATATTTGGCCACAAAAACTAAAAGAATCAGCAAAAAATACAAACCCAACTATAAAACTATCATGATAAAGGCTATATATTATTATTATTTTTAACCCGTGAATAATATAAGATGTTTATCAAACAATTAAAACCATTTTTTCTTTTATATAAAAACACAGTATGTCCAGCGAACTGGAAACCAGGAGACAAGTCTATAAAGCCAAACGTTGATAAGAGCAAAGAATTTTTTGAAGCTACCAACAAATAAATAAATGGAAAAATGGATACTTATATTATACACTAATTTCACTAAATTATTTAGCAAATTCATTAATTTTTAAAATAGGATAGGTATCAAACTATAAATAAAAATCACTAAAGAAAATTATAAACTCATTTGTTATTAGGCTAATAAAAATCGATTTTGTCTTGTTACGCTTATTTATTCAGCTTTACTAAGAAGAGAAATTTATAAGAATCGCAAATGATAATAGAAAATCTACGAATTTCTATATAATAAGGTTTAAAAAAATCGATAAATATTTACCTTCAATCGAAAAAAGTTAAATATAAATTATTACCAAATTAGTTAATTATTTTAAAACAATATACCAGGAAAATTATTGAAAAAAATATATATCAGGAAAATTATTTTGCTTTTAGGCATTGTTTATGCTGTTTTTACTTTATCAATAGTTTTTCAACCAGATAATGATGATGGGAATGTTTAGAGTGCTTAAGTGCATATTATAAATTTAATATTTATGTAACATTGCTACGCCATTAATATCATTCTATTTTTCTTACCTTTATAAATAGATCTATAGGATTTCTAATATAACTAACTTCAAATCTTAAACAAAAAGGGCATCAATAAATTGGGAAGCAGTGTAGGATTAACATTTTAATATATTCTGCAACTTTTTGATAATGTTTACATTTATTTGATAATTATTAATGATAAATATAATTTATCAATCGATTCAAACCAAGCCGATAATCAATTTAGAACCCCAAACTGATTCTAAAGACAAAATCGATAAAACCGGACCACTGACCTTCACTATTATTGTTAGATGTTATAGAACGTTAAAACATTGGACCAAATTTAATAAGAAATATGGTTGTGAGTCCTATAATTTTAATCATTTTAGTTTGAATTATTTTTATTTATACAAAATATAAAAAAAATGTGTAATTGATTACATGATGAACATAAAAATATTTTTAAACGTATGATTTTTTTATAACAATATAACATTTTTAATAATATATTTTATATCTCCATAAACACTCGATCCAGCAATTCTTCGTTAACCATTTTACCTAAAAAATTATGATAAAATGTTAATCTTTTCTAAAAAAAATGTAGTTTTACTTTTATCTGGCAAATTTTGTGAACATCCTATAAAACTGTCTTTGATTTCGCAATTTTTTCCCAATTCACAATGGTTTAAAATAACTGAATTGTTAATATTTGAGCTACAATAAAAGGATAAATGTTTTAATTCTAATTTATAATTGATATGCGAATTTTTTTTTTAAATCTAAAATCGAAAACTATATTATAAGCGTATCCAGGATTCCCTATCGATGAGGGGGGGGGATTAGGTGAATTTTCTACTTTAAATTTTATCGCAGGTCTTTGGGCCCAATCATTGGTTATGTTATATTTTTATAAAAATAATTTTGAATTATAGTTATTTAAATAAATATTAACTTACATTTTTTTCCAAATTATTGTTGGTGGGGGGGGGGGGGTTAAGGGGGAAATTTTATTAGCTTAAAATGATATTTACGAGAACCGACAAATTTCAAATAGGATGAGAAATTTCCCACCCCTTGATTCCGCGCCTAATATACATTTAAAATTTTGGTCTCTTAATTATATAATCGATTTTAAGGGTACGATTCAAAAAAACACTTTAGTTATCATTAAAATTTATAATATAAGGAGAAATAGATGTTATACTTTTCCCGTATTATGACGTGATTGCCAATGATAGAATTCGTGATTTTAACGTTGTTTTCGAAAGAGCAATGTTTACCTATAATAGACTTTTTAATGTTAACGTTTTCCTTGAGGGTACATTGTTCCAAAAGAGAATCATTCGATATCTGGTAGTGAAATAAACAATTTTTTTCCGATATGTGTATTATATTACTATAGAAAGTCAAAAGTCCGGGATGGGACGCAGTTTCCGTCAAATATAATCATCGTTAAGACACGTCTAGTCCAAGGTATACTATCATTAGGATGCGTCCCATCCGATATAGTGTTTTTGGGATGCCGCTTCCAAAAAATATTCAACTGATGGAATAATTTTTTTTACAATTTAAAAGCGTAAAAAATTGATATCTTGAAGATTAATTTTTGAAATAAAAATAAGTTATATTATAAATTTAAAAAAATTATCGGAAGGAAAAAGTTAGAATAGGGAAGTAGTGGAAGGCTCGATTTTTAAAAATAGATAACCCGATATTTTAGACCAAGAATATCGCATAGCCTTGAGATTGGTTAATAGATGTCCAAATCTTTCTGCCATCTATGAGGAAAATGTCCCGATTTGCGTAATATTTTTGGCGAAAATATTGGATTAGCATTTTTTAAAAATCGAGCCGTTAAACAACATTATAGGTAGGTTAATCGACTAAATTTAGTCAACTAGCTAATAGTGTTGTGATGATTTAATGAAACATATTGACGATTAAATTTAAACCCATTCATATAAAATGATAATATTTGCAAAAATAACTAAAATATAAACAAAGCATTATTGAAATTTCTTTTATTACTTCTTTTGTTGTACATTTGTAAAGATTATAATTATATATGCATGTGTTTAAATTAAATCGTCAATATGTTATATTAAATCATCACAACACTGTATAGTTATAGTCGAAAAATTCCACTAAAAACTTTAGCCACTAAATTAGTCGACTAAGACTAAAATTATTAATTTTATTTATTTTTATATTTATTAAATTTTTTGAAAACATAAAAAATCTACCTAATTTCCTGTTTTAAAAAATATGATTTGGGGCCGACCAGGCGCTAAAAATAAACATTCAAAATTAAAATAAATAAAAATGAAATATAATAATAAAATCCACGGAATTAGTAGACTAATTAACAACACTAACTATAAGGAAGGAGGTGAATGAGTCCTATCCAAGGTGTTACGTCCTTATGACAATTAAAGACGGGACTAATGTTTTACATTACTACTTATAATATTCTTTATTAATAAAAATAGGTATATATTTTCAATATTTAAAAATTGAATTAAAATGACGAATATTTTGTAATTACTCTTACTCTAAAATTGTAATTAATAATAATTACGTGTATATTTGCGTCAGGAGGCAAATTGCTCTTATGTTGCAATTTTTGATCGTCGAAAAACATTTGACTAGATTTTGCAACCTTTTGATAAAATTATGCAATATTTTGTGATAAAATTTTTTCCATATGATAAAAGAAAGTTTTTCATTACATAATAAATTGCATGTAATATATATAATTAAAAAATAAAATACCATAAAAAAAGCCATTTTAATATAAATGGCGTTGCTAGCCTTTTCAAAATGAAGGGGCTAGTTGAAAACGTAAAAATTAACAAAAAAGGTAGTTTTATCTAAAATCATAAATTTTTTTTATCTAGAATTAGCAAAAAAATTGAAAATTCAGGGTGCTCAATAAAGGTTTTTAGGAGTATTGAGTCCCTATTCCCCCCTTCCTTAATGAGTTAATTATAAAATATTCTGAGAGGTTATGTGTACTCTGGGTCAGTATGTTAGATATTAGCCTCTTAGTTTTTAAAATCCCTTTCCCCTCTCACTCAAAAATTCTGTTTAGGCTACCTGTTAATATCAATTTTGTTTCAATGAAAATTTGATTACTAATTTATTAGCTAAGCAATATTCGTGGAAAGTGTGGACCCTAATGCAAGAGCTAGGAATTTCGCTATAAACGTAAGCGAAAAAATTAGGCAGGGTATGAGATTTTTCCTGGGTTTCGGTATTTTTGTAAAAAGTGTCCAAGTATGGCTTTGAAGCTAGATCATAACATATAGCTGATTGTTTTGGAGAATTACTAAGCGTATTGTTGATAGAATCACCCATTTGTAGAGAGGGTGTTAGGTAAGAAGAGCCCAAATTATCCGAGTTATCATTTATTATGGTTAGGTCAAGATCTTCAAAAAAATATATTTTTTAAAATCATTATCTATAAAGAAAGTTAAAAATTTTCATTTCTTTTAAATATACAATTAGCAAATTACATGAAATATATATAAGAAATTATTTTAAAAACTATTAAATAATGATATTAACCCTTAAAATGAGTTATATACAAATTTAAATATGGATAGGATGGACATTTATGATGTGAACCTATCAAAAATAACATCTATTCTAAAATAGAATATAAATGAATAATTATTACAATTCAAAACATTTTATAACCTCTCCCAAGAGCTCAAATATTTAAAATGAACATGGGTATTGAAATGTGAATATTCTGAAAATACTAGGATGCCTGCATATATTTATATAAAAATTACTTTTTGTAATATAATTTAGAGCTGAGCTTTGGGTTGAAAAAGATTTGTTTAGATTATCGGACGAATACTGAGAAACAAGTATTTTAGGGCGTTTTTGAATTAATTTAGGTATCAGATCCCCTTTAATTGAGGATATTTTTCTAGAATATTATTTTAAATAATATTTATTATTATTAAAGCCAAAAAAAGGAGGTAGCTATGATTTTTTTCTTTTATAAGCAGTTATTTTAAACAGGGACATGAAACAAGAGATATGCAAAAGTAGGCCTGACCCAAGGATTCGGCTGGGCCTAATATTTAAAAAAAAATTTGAGCTGGGCTTTTAATTTAAAATGCTAAATACGAAAATAAGGGGAACTGCAAATTTTTTAATTTAAAAAAAACCGGAAGGAATATATGGGCGAGAAAACATTTTTTATTCAAAATATTGCAATATAACAGAGAAAAAATGTCGTTCTTTAAATAATCAAATATTAGAGGTGACCGATTTTTCCCGGTTCAGTTTTTGAAATTTTTGGCCCATCTTGCCCTAAGTTTAGGCCATTCAAAATAACTTTGGTTTAATATACCATGTTATTTATCGGTTAATTGAAATTATTTAACTCTTGATTGGTAAGGTGGAAAAAAAATAACGCAAGTGGTTGGGTAAAGCATAATTCACCACCATTTAGGATATTTTATTCGAATTTCTATTAATATAAAAAACATAGTAGAAATTTAGTTTAAGAGACTACTGAAAAAAATCGCTTCAAAATTCGATAAGTTTTTTGTAAAAGCAATTTAAAAATTTCTGATGTGTTGCTATGTCTCAGTTAATGATGACTACTAGATTGGTGTGCAAATATAGGTGTCAGCTGTTAGCGACATTTTGTGGGTTGCATGTCGGGAATTTTTCTATAATCATTATATTAATTCCATTTAATCGGCATGCAAACCACAATTGGAACTTAGCTGAATGAATCGACAATCTAGTAGGTTCCAGTTATAGCCAAGAGTTAAATTTATTACATTGGTTATTCTGGTCAATTTTTTAAAAAAATGGCCCAGTACCTTTTAATGATATTTAACCTCTAATAATAAAAAAGTAAATTTTCAATTGAATAATAAATTAGTATTACTTATTTTCAATTATATATGTTATTATCCATTTTTTTATCATATACATATGACAATCCATCAATGTTGTATATATATTGAAGTTTGGATAACTATATTAAATTAATAAAAAAGTATAAGTAAATTTGATTATGTATATAATAAAGTGATGAAGCATTAAGTTTTCTAAAAAGGCAATTGGTTTTTTTATTAAATTTACAGACCAAATATTAAATGAGAAGAATTTGGTCTTTGTTTTTGAGTAAAATGCTCAAATACTAAATGATAAAAGCTATCTTTAGATTTAAAATTTTTAAATGATTATTCTTAATTTTAATCAAACTTAAATTGTTAAATGATTAATATTATATTGCTTGACATCAAATTAATTTTATTATGTCGTTGACGGGTCATTCCATGTCAAATGAGCAAAAAAAATGAGATTTTCGGCCGACCCCCTTCGATTTTTTTAAAATTTAGTAAGCAAAGAAAGGTTTGTGTAGTTAAGAAATAGCCAAAATTTTAGCCTCGTAACATTTATATTTTTGGAGATATTAGGGTTAAAAGTGGCAAAAATGACGTATTTTTACCATTATCTGCCTTCATTCAATTAAGCATATCTTAAAAACTATCTAATTGTAAATAACAAATTTAATATCAAAATTACGTACAAAGATTCTACTTTTAGATAAAAAAAAATTTTTTTTTTCAATTTCCGGCCGTTTTATTAAATATATAAGGACTAAAAACGATTTTTTAGAAATTATACGACCTTCAATTTTTTTTAAAAATTTAGTAGACAACACTGAACTCTTCCTTTATATTTATAAAAAAAAATTGATCTGGGACAAGGCCATCTTCATTCTCAAAATCGATAAAAATGTTTAGAAAAGTGTATAAATATTTTCCCGAAAGGGGACGTCTTTGCATAAATTTATATTTAAATCAGTTTTTAATGGTTTTTCTTAGACTATTTGATATAATTTAAAGGAGTATTTATCTTGTAAGTGAAAATAACAATAAATGGGGCTTTCATTCAATTATAGAAATTGCCTATCGATAAAAGAAATTCAATTTATTACTTTATTTATAATTTTTTATAAAATTTTTTGCTAATATAACATATATTAATATTAATAAAATATATTCAACCAAATTTATACTTCTTGAATATATGAATCAGAATCTTTAGCATTTCATATATGGCGCCCTAAATATTAAAAATAATTGATATAATATAAATTTTAAAATCTAATATATAACTCACTTTTAAAAGATTCTAATTTTTCGGTAGCGCATTTACTTTCTTGTGACGACAATGTGTAACTACGGCCAGTAGCAGTTAACGGTGAAACTAATGTTAAGATATGACATTTTGGCAAGTAGAGAGTGTCGTCTATACTTGGAAATGTAAAGGAATTAGAAGGTCCGGATGGGTGTAAAAACTTTATATATATTTCTTCCTCCTTTTGATTTTTCCCTAAAACTAAGGCTAACCACCAATTAGAATCATAAACACATGTTATATACCCTGATATCTCTCCAAAAATGATACTTTCATCATTATATGATAAATATTCTATATTACTTTCTATAGAATTGGAATATATTTTACTCTTAAATTGATGTAGACCTGTGGGAATCACCGTGTGAATTTTCTGTGTTCCAGGTATAGGTCTCGTTTTTGAAAACCTTTCCCTGAGTAATATTTCTTCGTGATCATAATTTTCTTGGGTCATATATTCAAAATATATGCCATTAATATTTTCTTTAGCGAACTCGTACAATTCATATGATGTGGTTATTTGCTTTGAGTAAGGTCTTTGTAAACTAGCTCTAGCGGCTAATCTTTTAACAGTGCCACCAATCCCATCACAAACACTTTTCCCATGTGCTGTAGCAGAAAAATGCCATTCCGCCTGTATCCCGAAATCCATCTCATGATGGCAAATATTAATAAAATTTTTACGATTTAGATACTGTGCAGCAGATCCATCGGAAAAATAAAAAATTTTATTTGGCATACAAATTTTATTAATTAAAAAATTTACCAATGTTTTTTGGAAATAATGTACTGCTATTGTATTGTGTTGCAAAGATTCGGATATCATTACATAATTTAGGCAACAAATATTGGCTAAATTATCTTTATAATATATAACAAAAGGGTGAACAGTGGATTGACCTCTATTCCAATGATAACTTTGTACTTCATCCTGAAGTATAAAGCTATAGTTTTCTGAAAAATCACATAAAATTAAATATTGGCCTTTGTCTAAGTTCAATTTTAGATTTTTTTGATACAATGATTGTTGCGTTGAAATAAAAGAATGGGGTAATAAAGATTCCATTTTTTCAAAAAAGGCATTGATAAATTCATCTACTGGCTTGGTTATTGTTTCAAGAGTGGTTCTATCTACGGATAGCCATTGTTTGTATGTTATAAATTCGATGTCCTTAGAACGAAACAATATTTCTATTTGGTGGCGTAAATTTGTTGACCCTGGATAATTATCACATTTGCCCAAATAACAGGATGGTTGAGGCGGATTACAAATTATTAAGGGTAAAATATGTTTATATGTTTTAATGGGCAACATATCATCTTTGGTTAAATTGGGTAAATTTGATCCAATGATCATTAATTTAAAATTTTGGTGGTAGCTGCAAACACAAACATTATGTGTACCAATACCTCCTACGAGTATACAATTTTTTGGGCGAATGCTTGCAAATTTCGAAAAACCGATTTTAACATCAGGCCTCATTTCTTTAAAAAATATATAAATTTCTTTCAAATTATCTAAAATTAATCTCTTTTGTATTGTATTCTTTTTTCCGTCTTCGGTCAAAATTGAAAGGCAATCTTTCTTGCCTGGCATGATTCTGCTTATTTCGTCCATACAATAAAATTCTTGTACAATTTTAACTGTACATTCGTCTATAGTATTTCCAGGCTTGGGGTTAGGGGTTGATAAAAATCCCTTTTCCGCTATAAATAATTTAGCTTGTCTTGCCATGTATTTTGTTGTATTAAATTCATTCATTATTTTGGACACTGTCCAATTCTTTGGTAATATCGTCAAAATTTTATATTTATCAGTTTTAGATAAGAGTGAAATTTTTTTTTAATATTGCTTAGAATACCATCATCTTTATCGATAGTAGCTGGCTCAATCGCATTTATATCTAAATGAGTTTCTATAGCCTTTTTTATTTTGGTAATTTTTTTAATTGGATATCTTTTTTCTCTCAACCTTTTCTTTTTTATTGGAGATTCTCCAATTTCTATCAATGATGTATTAATTGATTCATAAGCCAGGTTCTCTTCGATATGATGAATATCAGGGTCTTTAAATGCGTCATTTGACTTAATAGCTGTTCCGAGTTTTCTTCGACATTTATCACATATCTTATCATCTGAGTGAAGTGACATCCAAGATTGTACATTTCTAAGATTTGTAGTTACATTATTATGTTTTAGTATTTTAAAAGGGTTACAGCATCTAGTTTTTCGAATAAGATTTTTGTTCATTTTATTGAAATTCTATATGATAAAACAAATTAATTTATAAAAATATCACCGAATATCTAATAATTACAGGTGTACCGATTAGGGGGTTAATCCGATACGATATTGCAGATATTATATTGATATCGGCCAAATAACCGATATCACTAATCTGGTTTTGCTCGCTCTACATATTATATATTTTATCATAACTTAAAACAAATAATTATAATTTAAATTAACCTAGTATTTCAGGACTATTTATTCATGTAAAATTCTATATAAAATTTAGTAAAAATATGGTATAATCATTTTTTGTTCCAAAAACCCTATTTTGATGTAGAAAGTAACTGGTTAATTTTTGAAAAAATTATTGATTTAGTTTTAAAACAAAAATATCCTTATAAGACATTATTAATTATTTTCATTTAGTTTTTTATAAAATTTATCGCTTCAATTAAATAATTTTTTTACCTTTGATATTATAAGAATAATTAGAATTTATTATAAGAATAATTAGAATTTATTATAGTTTTTTTAAAATACCAAGAAATTAATTAAAAAATGAATTAATATAGTGAGCATGTGTTATTGAATGATTAATCAATTTTAAATTTTTCTTTATTTTATTGATTGAAACACTCATTTATTCTTATTTACAAGTAAAGCTATGCCGATTTTAGAAAATCCGATCCAATATTTATATTGTTTGGGTTATTGATGATACTTTTATTTTGTATATAATTTTATAATAATAATAAATTAATATTTGTAATATTTTATTAGCTTTTCCACGTCAATGGAAGAATTATAATTCTTCATATATTATTTTTTTTTGGTAAAAACAAAACAATAAATACAATGTACATAATATGGAGACACAAAAAATATAATATATCTTGACTTTGAAAAATTTATTTTTTTTGCGACGATCACATTATTTTAAAAAATTGATCGATATTTGGTGGATCATATTTTATTAATATTCGTTAAATATATGTTATATGGGCAAATATATAATAATTATAAATAATAATGTAATAAATTGAGTTTCTTTTATCGATAGATAATTTCTATACTTGAATGAAAGCCCCATAAGTGAAGAAAATATTATAATTTATATTTACAAGATGAATAATCGTTTAAATTATATCAAATAGTCCAAGAAAAACCATTAAAAACTGATTTAAATATAAATTTATGCAAAGACGCCCCCTTTCGGGAAAATATTTATACACTTTTCTAAACATCTTTATCGATTTTGAGACTGAAGATGGCCTCGTCCCAGACCAATTTTTTTTTATAAATATAAAGGAAGAGTTCAGTGTTGTCTACTAAATTTTTAAAAAAAATTGAAGGTCGTATAATTTCTAAAAAATCGTTTTTAGTCCTTATATATTTAATAAAATGGCCGGAAATTGAAAAAAAAATTTTTTTTTTTTATTATCTAAAAGTAGAATCTTTGAAAGTAATTTTGATATTAAATTTGTTATTTACAATTAGATAGTTTTTAAGATATGCTTAATTGAATGAAGGCAGATAATGGTAAAAATACGACATTTTTGCCACTTTGAACCCTAATATCTCCAAAAATATAAATGTTACGAGGCTAAAATTTTGGCTATTTCTTAGTTACATTGACCTTTCTTTGCTTACCAAATTTTAAAAAAATCGAAGGGGGTCGGCCGAATCGTGGTTGATTTGTCATGGAATGACCCACAGACATTTAGACTATTATTTTTGTATCTAAAATTAAAATATAATATACAATGTAAAACCCCAAATATGTATTATTTTTGGATGGAAATTGAATCATTATGACACTACACAAATCTCTCAACTGTAATGTAACATATAAAAAAAATTTCAATTGAAATCAATGAAAGATAGAATCTTTCTAATAGTTTTTAAATAATGAAAATTCTCACTTTGCCTGCACAATTGTTGTTCAGATGAATTTTGAATTATTTTTATAATAGCTAACAACAGACTACGATAAAATAAGTGTGGAAGGATCAAAGACCTTCATGGGCTTAAATTTTTTGACCAAGCCCGACCCAGGCCCGTAGTAAAAAATTTTTTTAGGCCCAAGCCAGGCCTGGCCCATATTTAATGTTAAAAAAAATTCCCAAGCTGGCCCAAGCCCATAATATGTTTCACAAAAATTTCCCAAGCCCATAATAAGTTTCAAAAAAATTTCCCAAGCCCAGCCCATTTAATTGTTTTTTATTTAATGAAAATTAACAATATTTAAATATATTTAGGCAATCATTTTGTTTACAATACTGAAATTTATTATTATTAGAAGAAAAAAGGCAATATTTCATTAAATTAGCTACTGTTTTAAATAGTCTAAACTTAAATTTAATAATTTTTGGCCCAAGCCCATTAAAAAAAAATTTAAAAAACCCAGGCCCGGCCCAGACCCGCTAGAAAATATGATACCATGGGCCGGGTATGGGAATGCAGGCCGACCCATGAAGGTCTCTGGGAAGATGACACATCAAACCAATCTAAATCAATAAATTTTGTTATTGACCAAGTAAAGTTGTGCATCAGTAGATTATTTCGAGAATTAATTAGTAAACATCAAGCAATTTTTGATAATAAGATAGAATATAAGATTCTGCAGTACGAATACATTTAAAGGATACAGACTGTGCCAAGATCATTTCCAGCGCATAGGGTACCGCTTCCACTTTGTAATGCAAACGAAATAGAATCAGGCAGGCTGGTGACTTTTGGAATTATCAAAAAGATTGATTTGACTAATACCAGGATACAGTAATAACTCTGTAAACATGTGCAGGAGTAATGGCGATATCCAAATTCATGCTGATTTTTGTTATTCCTATTTTAGATGATATGTTGTAATAAATTTTAAGGATGCTCACTTGCAGATGGAAATAGAATCAGAGTCTCAAGAGATTTTAACAAAAGCGATTCAAAAGAAGTATATTCGTTATATGCTTGGATTGGCAAGTGCATCTATTATATTTTCAGAGATAAATGGATGAGTCATTGAAAGATTGCTAAATGGCCGGTTCGTACTTAGATGACATAATTATTTCTGGTCGAAACTACGAAGAGCACATAAAAATTTGAAACATATATTAGATAGATTACAGATGGCTGGTAAAGTTTAAATTAACTAAATCTGAAATAATGGAACAGAATATAGGGAAAGGCAAATTGACGTATAGGAAACTAGTTATAAAAATGCATTATTGGTGGAGCATTAGAAGCCACAAACTATAGAAAAATGCAGAATCATTTAGTGGGAAATCATTAGAAATAGAGACAATGTTGGACAAAAGAAATATTACCTTGAAAAAAAATTAGGATAACTTGGTAATGTCCTAGAAGTGGGTGTCAGAAGCAAAAAAAAATCCAGAGACTAGAATAAATCGATAATTGTATTACTAGCTATCCTCTATTGGCAGATCAGAATGGAGTTAGATAATTTGTGAGTCTAAGATGCTTGTCCAACTCATATGTTGTGTTAAGACTAATTAAGGAAAAAGCTATTGTGATTAAATTTCAATTTTTATAAAAATTGTCTGTAATTTTGTTATACTATAATTTACATAAATTTGATCAATTATTCATAAACTAAATTGAATGTTTTTTCTTATAGTATGTAAATTTTATTTGTTTAAAATTAGTATAAGTAGTGATTTGAAAATTAATAAATGTAATTAATTATAAATGATCTTAATATATTAAAGTAAGACAATAATAATTATTAATTATTCTTTTTAGACTCTTCTTTTCTTTTTGTTACAATTTCCCCATATATCTATAAAGCAGAATATATGATTCAGGTTTTCAACCAAGAAATTAAAGAATTATATTTAGTAAAATAATTATATATAACTCATAATGAAAATAATGCAAAACTTTTTATTAATTAAATATATCAAAAATAGAGTTATTTATCATTTTTCTATTGTTTGGAAATAGCTCAGTGTTATAATTATGTAACTCAAATTTTTTTTAATTTGGTTAATATATATTTAAAGTTAAACAAGTATGCAGGATAAAGGTTAGGGAGGGGTTAAGGTTAATATATATTATATATGGTTTTTCTCAAATCTTAAAGGTCATGATTAAAAAAAATTCTTTAATGATCACAATCCTCAGGTTTAGTAGGTTATTGGTTCAAAAAAAATTCTAAATGTCTAAACCTGAATTCAGGTTAGAAGCCCTGATAAATATAGTATTAATGTTTTATATATAGTAAAAATATTATTCATTATATAGAAAAAAATTACAAGGGAATCAATGCTTTCCTCTAAAAGTGCTTCATCACTTATATAATATGAAGGTATATCATAACTATTAAGTAAACTTTATCAGAAATGAATGCTTTAATATAATTTTATCTTCAAAATCAGCCTCAGCTCCATATATTAATAATCTTTCTTCATCATTTAAACCTATAATGTCCCGTTCTAAAAATAAAATTATAATAAGAAACTTTAAGTTTTAATAAACCATATTTTATTTTTGATTTTGGTCCTATATTTGCATCAGGAATTTGAGAGGGCCTTGATGTTAGCAGAACAGTTAGACTAGAATCTTTAGTACGATGAACATTGGCTAACAATTGAAGAGGTATAAAAGTGATTGTATCACAGCTGATAACTAATATATTATCACACTAAACTCAATATATAATTATATTATATGTAATCTTAAACATTTATTTTATCAGCAATAAATCTTAAAGAATCAGCTGTTCCCCATTCATTATCATCTTTGATACCTATTATATTCAATACAATTTGAACATCATTTTCTTCAACCAAAGCTCTGAAAATATCTTCTTTAAGAGATTCTAAGGTAACTATTGTTACCTCTTAAAACACTTAATGAGTCATTCATTTGAAAGCAAAATATACCTTCAAACCCTGATTTCTCTAAATAATTAACAGAGTACCATATCAGCGGCTTGTTTGCGATAGATAATAAAGGTTTAGGTATTTTAGATGTTAAATCTAGCATACGAGAACCTCTCCCAGCTGCCATAATTACTGCTTGAAACTCCATAATCTGAAACTATCATAAAAAATTTAAGTGGCGGTTAACATTATTTATTCTCAGCTGTTTTTACCTTGTCAATTATTCTCATGAAGGTGCTTTAAATTTATAAAACATATATAAATGTATAGCCGCTAAAGGTACCTTATAATTAACTTGCAGGATATTCTTTTTCTCTTTATTCTTTTGCAATAAATTAAAACATAAAAAAATCCACAAATAATAAAGTGTACAAATACTTTTTAATATAATAAATATATTCAATCAGCGATTTAAAAATCAATACATCTGTTAAAATAAATCGCTCTATCAAATAAAATATGTAAAAAAAATGGAAGCTACAACAGTAAGTCCAAGCGTCGAAATTCACGTAACTCATGTTTTGTTTAAATATTATACGAATAACATATAATCCCAAAGTTTAGTTAGCAAAAATAATTTACTAATTTTAGTTATGCAATTCACGCTTAAGCATGGCATTAATTCGGATATTAAATTTGTAAAATTTAGTAAATAATATGTTTATTTTTTAAAATAATTAACCACTTAGATCAGTCAGCTGCTCACATTAAGTATACTTTTCAGTCAAGCAGTCAGGTACGCGCGTAACAAACAAGTTATATTCACTAATAAATTATTCGTGACTAAGGTGGAAAGCGGTAAACAGGTAATTTGACCCCTCCCCCTCAAGATAATTTTTTTAAATTTATAAATAGGGTTGATTAAGTTGTTTGCAGTGTTGTTAAACGCTACTTTTAAAAGTAGCGCGCTATTGCTAACGCTATTGTTTTCAAATGAGTAGCGCGCTATTAGCTACTTTTTGATTTTTTTTAAAAATATTATTTTCATAACTTTATTTCCACAAATAAAATATTGGTATAAAAACATGACTATAATTTGTTACATATATATATATAAAATTTATTCAATATTACACTTTAATAACAATAACATTCTGTACTCGACGATCAGAAAGTATAAGCTTGCCATACTAAATAATCGTTCAGCGCTAGCACTTGAGGGCAAGGCAGTATTAAATTTATTTAATAATCACACTTTTTATATTAAAAAAATCATCAAAGATATTTAAATGTGTATTTTTAGATTTAAAAAAAGCATCTAGGGGTTCAATAATATTATTATTTATTTTAAAAAAAATCGTCTATGGAAGGCCGCGGTTTCAATCTTGCTATAGTATTAGTATCGTGGTTAGGCATAACATTTTTTAACGTTACCATCAGCCTATCAAGTTACCCTTTAGATTCAGTCAAATTAATGTATGGCCAATTTAACTTGAAACTAGGATGAATGATAGCAGCTATTACATTATCATCATCATACAGATCTGGAAACCTAATGATTGTATTAATTATAAAATAAGAAGAATACCTTTTTAATTTTCAAAAGATTCATTTATAAAAAAAATATAAAAATAGCATTAAATAATGGTAAATAAAGATTTAAAAAATATAATTATCATACACAAGGTAATTAATTATATATTAATTTTGAATATTATATTAATACTATATATTAATATTATAGATTGTGTTGTAAATTAAGCCAATTTAAATTATGGCTAATCATGCATTAAATCATTCATTTTATATAATAGTATAATAGGAAATAAAAATAAAGTTTTGACCTTTTCTCAATGCTTATTAGCATAGACTCTACCAGTGGTTGGCAAAATTTTCCTGCATCGAAATCGATATCCAGTAGTAATTTTTTCTTCAAGATTAAAGTATTTTTTGAATTTTGGGAAAGGATAATCTATATTTTTCTCATTTTCCAAAGAAATTTCACTATCTTCAACAATCTCACACATTTTTAATAACTAGATTTATAATTATAACTAGATTTATAATGTATATTTTTAAATATAAAATTTCAAAATAAAATAAAATAAAATAAATGGATTATAATTTTATTTTAATAAAAAATATATCTTAATAATTTTTAGATGTATATTTATTATGTAAAAGTGAAAGTAGCGAAGTAGCGCGCTACTTTTTAAATGAGTAGCGAGCTATCGCTATAGCTATTTTCTAAAAAAAGTAGCCAGCTAAAGCTATCGCTACTGAAAAAAGTAGCGCGCTATTTTAACAACACTGGTTGTTTGTATATATGACTTGACTATAAATCAAATTTAAAACAAAATAAAGACATATTACTTTTTGTAATATCTTATTTCCTTTATAAAAATCGATTTTCTAAAATTATTTTAATTAAAGAACATTTATTAAAGTCTATTTTTTAAATTATGAATATGGGATATGAGTAATCTAATTCCTTTTTTAAAAATTTTGACACCCCCCCCCCCCCCTATTTTTATTTTTTTTTTTTTAAAATTTAGAAAAAAAGTATAGAAAAAAAGGAAACAATTTGGGAAAAGATAATAAAGATAAATAAATCATTAAAATCGCAAGATAAAGTATCACGATAGTGTCGCCTGATAAAGTGTCAAGCTATTAAATGACTGAGTGATAAAATGTCGTCGTGATAAAGGGTCGTAGAGAAAGTGTGGCATGATTCGCGTGGGTGATATCTCAATACCAATAATATATATTATTATTAGATTTAATATTTAAACTTTTTATTAAATATATAAATAAACATAAAAAATGGACGGAGTTTGAAAATAGATATATAATTTTTACATATAAATTTTTTTCGTAACATACTATTTTAAAAAATCTTTATACACACAAATTATATATTTTTTTCAAACTCGGCCTTTTTTTAACATTGTTTGTCTTAATCTAACATTCAATTATCCTTGTTGTTGAATCACGGACCTTATGTATTTAATATGACTCTTTTATTACCTTTTGATATGCTTAAATGAATGAGCCCCGGTAGAAAGGTGAGTTTACTTTATAACCGAGAAAATAATGTATTAAGTTCAAAAGAGTTAAGGAAGATATTTAAATAAAATTTGTAAATAAAATGAATGAGAACGAAATATTTCTTTATTTATTTGCAACATTATTTTCTTTTTTTTTCGGACCCGTTCTCATTTATCCCCAAAACGGGTTCCTAAATATGCTACTAATAACATATCAAAAAAAACTAAATTCAAGAAGCCATATGGAATTTATTTATTAGAATTTAAAAGAATTAGCATGATGACCGATTGATTAGCTAAAATAAGTGTGAAGATGCCTTTTGTATATCCAGAACTTTGCAAAGATGGGGAGAGGTGACAGTATTAGGTGGGGTTTTCATCCATAAATTTTAAAAGGTCTTTTCAACTTATTGTAGTCCTTTGGCTATGTTAAAATTATGTAAATGATTTTGGGTTTTCACTTTTATATTTATAAAAATTCTTTTTTCTAAAAATTAGAATTATAGTTGTTATTTTTAAAAAGTAATTAACTTTTACTAATTTAAATTCTTGTTTACAGTGATATATTGTATACAAGTGGGGGTAATTATCTTATTGATATTTAAAAGAACAGGCAAATTTCTAAAGGAGGAGGATTTCCTTTTGCCTCTCCCCTGTCTATGCCTATGAAAGATGCTTTAGTAGTTATTAAGTTTTAAAACTTCTAATAAATTTTCTTTATTTTTACTTACATCACTCTTATCTTCATCAGAATTTGATAAAATCTAATAATTTCTAATAAATATCCTTTCTTTTATCCTTAATCTTATTAAGTCCTTTAAAGAATATCTATAATAGAGGTCTGCAATACCTGACCCGGAAAACCTTAATAAAAAATTTTAAACGGGCCGTGTAGAAATTTGTACTAACCGGGCAAAAGCTAAATTCCAACAGCCCTTACAATTTGGGGACCTCTAATCTTTATTTTCTAATATAGTTTGACAGTAGCGTCACTGGTGGGGGGGGACGCTGGAATTCGAGCTTTTCGAAAAATTTGAAGTGATCTCTCAAAATTTTGATTTTTTTTTTTATACCAAGTGTAATTGTAAAGATGTTATCTAATAAAACGGTAATTTTAGGATATGTTAGTTAAAATAAAAAAGAGGTAATTTTGAAAATAATTTAAAAAAATATTTTTTGAACCCCCTGAGATTGTAAAGGAACCCCCCCCCCCCTGTAGTTTGATAATATCAATTAATCTGTTAAAATATTTTCTTTTATTTAGAATCTAATTTATATTTATAAATTTGTGATGTTCAGTATTGTGTTGTGAAATTAGCTAATTTCCCTCATCCTCGAGGTGAAAGTCAAAATATTAGCTAAGCATTGAGGCGCAATTTGGTTATAGCCTAAAGTATTAATAATTATTTTTCTTATGTTCTAAATTAGAAAGCTAAGCATCCCCAATTATGCGTGGCTGGCGGCCTTTGACAATCCTCACTATATTTGGCTAATGGCTAAATGTCGACTAATTCGGCCCAATCCTCAGGCGCTTGCTGGAAAAAATCCATTAACATTAAGGTTTTCATTTATATTAGTTTCTCCCAAATTTGAGCTGCTATCTTTTCAAGAAAAACTCCGAGACCAAAGTTATAGTTTTCGGTTAAAAACATGGTTAAGCCGATTTTTAACCGGCTAAAAATTGGCTTATTCGGCTAAAAATATAGTAATTACCTAACTATAATCCTTACTACTTAACCATAAGTGAATATGATAAAGTTTAACATTTTAAATGTTGCATACAATATTCAAATGACCTAATATTTTAATAGTTATTTATTTTTTATTATCTAAATACTAACACCGAATTTTTCTTTTTGCATATATAGATATTATGAAAGTCTCAAATTAACTGTAACTCAAATCCTAAAAGATTCTAGTATAAGGAGCCAATTTGAAGGACAAAATTAAATACATTAATCCATAAACTGGGCAATATTTATAAACATATATATTTTTTTATAAGCCTATATATAAAATAGATATTATATAGATTAGTACCTATACGATATTATTAATATTATATAATAATTTTGAGCTAAAATATTTTTTTAAATTTAATGGCAATATAAATAATTAAAAGATAAACAACAATAGAATAGTCAAATTATTGTATGCCTATATATATCTGCTAGATAAATATCTTAATGTACTTTTTCTAATTTACATTTAGTTTTCAAGAATAAATATTATAAACCTTTAAATTAGCATTTTATATATTTATTAAAAAAAGTTGAAATTATCTAGCAAAGAAATTGATATTATTAGC